CCTGGGAGGGCGGGGTCGGGGGGAAGGGGCGCCCTGGGCGGGGTCAGGGGCGGGGGCGGGGCCTCACCTTCGAACCTCCCCGCGAGCTCCTGCCACTCGTCCTCCAGCTCGCCCTGCAGCTTCTGCCGCCACGCGCGCTCCTTGGCAGCCTCGTCCTCGTCTTCGTCCTGCTCGTCCTCCTCGGCGGAGTCCCAGGGGGGACCCCAGCCCAGAATCTGCCCGGGCGTCTCCCCGTCTTTATTCTTTATCCCCATGGCAGCGGGACAGCGACTCAGCAGTGGCAGGAAGAAGTCTGTGTAAGCTGTGGGTGGCAGAGCAGTGAGCAGTGAGCCGCGACCCCATTCCGGGGACACCTTGAATCCCTTGGTGCTCCTGACAGGGAGGGCGGCCCTTGCCCGGCCGCTGCTGCTCAGGAGGCCCAGAAGCTCACGAGTTGGAAGCCTGCATGGCAACCTAGTGACACCGCGTCTCAAAACAAAATAAAAGGGCCCAGGGTTCCCTCTGCGGTACACAAGGACAGGGTGTTTCACATGGTATAGAAAACTATCAACGTTTTTTTTTTTCCCCTGAGACAGGGTCTCACTATGCAGTTTGGGCGGCCTTGTGCTCTCTTTTGTAGCCCCAGGGTGGTCTAGAACTCGCAGAGATCCTCCCGGCTCACCTCCCAAGGCTGGGATTACGGGTGTGCGCCACCAGCCACACCACAAGTGGGGCTGGGGATCGAACTTGGTCCTTGCGCTTGCCAGGTAGGTGCTTATGCCTCTGAGCTACCTCTGGTCCCAATCAACATATTTGGACAAATACTTCCCAGTAGTTTACAGACGCGAGGAGTCTAGTAGTTTAAAACCTTCTCATTGGGCTGGTGAGTTAGTTCAGTGTAGGTCTACAGCGCCTGCTTAGGCAACAGCAGGGACTGCGGTTTGATCCCCAGCACCACATCTTGCCGCCCTCTGGCTAAGGTGGCCAAAACAAACCAACCTCCTGATTCATGTTCTCACCAACTTTTTATTGTGCTGCGAGTCCTACTATGGCAAATGACATTTTCTGACTCTGACTCTGGCCACCTAGAGCAACGTCAGTATCCTTGGTTTTGCACCTCTGGTTGAAAATCTTGTTACTAACATCCCTCACTGAATGCTTCACCCAGGACGACATCAGCCCAGCAAGTTGTCTGCATCCTCCACTCATGGCCAGCCGCAGAGCAAGCTCCCTTCAGGTGACTGCTGAGCAGGGCAGGGAGAGGCCCAGCCAGAGGCCTGCTTGGGAGCGCCCTTCTTCCTGAATTCTGGCCCCCCTTGCTGGGCGGGGCTGAGCCCAGTGCCACGGCCAAGCCCACCCGCTGTGGCCACCAACTACCTCTTCCACATGGGGGACAGCGGAAGGTGAGTGAGGCACCTCTCTTCCTGTAGACCTACTTTTCTCCTCAGGGTGGGGGAAATGGGCCGAAGCCAGGGAGTCTTTGGTTGGTGGTGCTGGAAAGTACTGTTTACCTGGCAGAGGGATGGCACTGGGGAGGGGCTGAGCTGTCACTGCCAGGAAGGCAGGAGACAGAGTGGCCCAGCCTGGGCTACCGAGGCCCTCCCCACCCATCCCAGTGCAAGTGATGATGCAGGAGGATCACTTGAGCCCAGGAGTTCAGGACCTGCCTGAATAAGGAGAGGAGGGTGAGGGGGGAGCGGGGAGAGGGGAGCGAACAGACAGACACCAAATCTGGTGAAGAAAAAAAAGGTGGAAAAATCCCAATTTTTAGGTGATTGGATTCTAGGTAGCTTTTTCTTTTCAGTTTTATTCAGTTGATACTTTAATATGAGAGTGACACAACTAAGAATAACTCAGAAGTACCAGCAGTTTGTTGTGTCCCATTCGTCGCGTTTCGGTACGCGTAAGTGTACACGGGCAGGTTTGCTCAGGTATGCGGCCAGGCTGCCACGGCACACACCGCCTGGCCACTTGCCTTCTGCATGGAGCAGCCCGCTTAGGGTTTTCCACAAGAACACGCAGCCCACTCCATCCCTCACGACGGAGTGTTCCGCTGCGCGCAAACAGCTCTCCCCACTCCGCACCGACAACTTTTGTTTCCAGAGCCCTCAGTTTCATACATATATCTTTGTGGACTTGTTACAGTATTTGTGTAGGGTAAATTTTAACAAGTGGAATTTCTGAGTCAAAAAACACATATTACAAAAAAAAAAAAAAAAAAAAAAAAAAAAGGGCGGTCACATAGCTCAGTGGACCAAAGCACCTGCTTAGGTAGAGCACAGGGACTGAGGTTCACTCCCTGGCACCATATGCCACGCCAGCTCCACAAACATGCTGAGTGTGTGACTGAGACCAGGCGTGGTGGCGCGTGCCTGTAATCCCACCTCTTAGGAGGCTGAAAACAGGAGGCTCACTACGAGTCTGATCTGGGTAGTGAGACCCTGGAGACCCTGCACTAAATACATTAAAAAAAAAAAAAAATGAAAAGAAAAAACATCCTCGACCAAACCAGGCGTGGTAGTACATGCCTGTCTCTAGTCCTGGAACTTTGGGAATCTGAGGCAGGAGGATCACAAGTCTTGAGTCCAGTCTGGAAATTTAGAGATTTTTTCTGGTACTGGAAACAAACAACAATTTTGCAGAGCCGGGGATTGAACTCAGGCACTTGTGCTTGCCAGGGAAGCGCTTATTCAACTGAGCTATCTCTCAGCCCCCTTAAATGAATGGGTTTTTTTTTTGGGGGGGGGCAGGGTACCAAGGATTGAACTCAGGACTTTGTGCTTGCCAGGCAGGTCCTTATGCCGCTATCTCCCTGGTCCTCAATTTAGAGATATAGTGAGATGCTGCCTCAAAATAAAAGCATATTATAAAAAATGATTGAGGCCTGGGGAGATGGAGATAGCTCAGTAGAATAAGTGCTTGGCAAGTGCAGGGTCCTGAGTTCAATCCCCTGTACCACAAAAAAAGGGGAGGTATAGCTCAGTGCAAAGGCTATGGGTTCAGCTCTCCTCTCTTCCTCTCTCTCTCTCTCTCTCTGACTGAATCTAGGGCCTATGTAGTGAACTCCATCTGCCTTTTTTTTTTTTTTTTTTGGTGGTACCAGGGATTGAACTCAAAACCTTGTTCTTGCCAGGCAGGTGCTTATTCTTGAGCTATCCCCTGGCCCCTTTGGGTTTTTTGTTTGTTTGTTTTTTGGGGTTTTTTTGGTGGTACCAGGGATTGAACTCAGGACTCTGTGCTTGCCAAGCAAGCGCTTATTCTACTGAGCTATCTCCCAGGCCCCCCAAGAATTACTGAGAATACCTAACACTGTGCTCCTGTTTTTTGTTGTTTGTTTGTTTTGGCAGAACCGGGGATTGAACTCAGGTCCTTGTGCTTGCCAGGGAAGTGCTTTGGTTTTTTAATTTTGTGACAAGGTATTGCCAAAGTTGCCCAAGCAGGTTCAAACTTCTACTTTTCCTGCCTCAGCCTCCTGAGTGCTGGGATGGCAGGCACAGGCCACCATGCCCATCTAACGTCACAGAACCGTCCTCCCAGGCCTGCTGGGCTCCAGCAATCCTCCTGCCACAGCCTGCTGAGTGGCTGGGAGTTGGGCCCGTGCCACCTCACCCAGCTTTGGAAGCTGGCTCGAGTCAGGTGTGAGGCAGCATCATTTTCTCCATGTGCCAAGCGTTCCCACATCGTTTCTTAAGTGTTTCACCCTTCTCTAGTGTCAGAAATGTTACCGTGACTATCAGCTTTGCAGTGGAGACCAACTTTTCCCAGGCTTGTTAATGACTATGTTATAACTCATACTGAGAAAACAAAAATGCCCAAATGTGTGGAAGGAAGCAGAGTGCGCTTCGCCTGGCAGTGACAGCGCTTCCTTCCCTGCGCACAGGCGTGAGTTCCACCTGAGAGGGCCCGGTGCCGTGACTGGTAAAAACTTTTGGCATCCTCCCCGTCACTGTTTTCATAGTGCCGAGGACTGAATCTAGGTTCTGTGCGTGCCAGGGTAGTGGTCCGCCACACACCGAGTGCCACCCCCAACCCCAAACACACTTTTAAAATGTATCACGTAGGTACTGGGAGTGGTGGGCGTGCCCGTGTCCTAGATCGGCCTGGGCTACATAGCTAGACCCCGTCTCAGACAGACAGACAGACAGACAAATGTTGAGGAAGGGTTTGTGCTGGGCTGGAAGGAACCCCAACACCAGGCAGATGAAAATTAGACAAAAGGACAGCAACAGGCCTGGAAGGACCCGGTCTGCGAGGGTGCCTGCGGGGTCGTCCCTGTGCGCAGGGCCTGGGGCTGGAAGGGCACAGAGCAGCCAGGAGCCCCGCCACTGCAGGGGACAGCCGCTTGTCTCTGGGGGCACACTCAGGTGGGGAGCACAGCGTGGGGTGGTGAAGGCCGGCCAGAAGACAAAGGAGAAACCAGAACAGGCTCGCCGTGGCTTTTACAGTTTTCACCAAGAGTGTGCAAAATGACCTCATTTCTCCCAAGCCGACTCTTGGTCTACGAGGGAAGTTACTGCCTGACCATGTGTGTTCATCCGGCAGCCTCTGACAGCCAGGAGCACTCCAGGAAGCGCAGCTTCGGAAAAGGAATCACTCAAGGCCAAAGGCGGGCTCTTCACTAGTGCGACTGGGTGTCCAGTGTGCTTGGAGCATCCTTCACACCCAGCATGGAGAGAATCTGCTGGCAAAGATTCTGCGTCTTTTTTTTTTTTTTTGGTGGTACTGGGGATTGAACTCAGGATCCTGCACTTGCCAGGCAAGTGTGTATTCTACTGAGCTATCTTCCCGGGACCAAGATTCTGGGTCTCTCTTTTTTTTTGTCTTTTTGAGACGGGACCTCGATATGCAGCGCAGGCTGGCCTTCAGCTCGCTCTGTACACAGCCCAGGCTGGTCTCAAACTCGCAGTGATCCTCCTGCCTCAGCCTCCCAAGTGCTGGGATTACAGGTGTGCATCACCACGCTGGGGTGTCATTTAATTCAAGCAAAGTATTTTCCTTTCACTGAGGTGGGCAAATTGGAAAGGCTAGGAGTTAGGAGGCCCCCTGGTGGCCTGGCAGGGGACGGGGAGAGAGAACAGAGGGCATGGGGAGGGAAGGGGCCCCAGGGAAGGTCCCCTTAGGACAAAGACCTCTCAGGCCAGAGCCAGACAAATTCTGAATCTTCGGGGCACTCAGTCTTTCTTGGGGTGCTGTGTCTGGTCTCAGGTTAACGCGGCCAGGCAGACACCTGCACTCAGCAAACTTCCTTTTTGAAGGTTAAAAAAAAAAAAAAAATCCAAGTGCACCAGCCCTTCACACATACAGAGGGAATTAAAGAGACTTCTGACCTTGGTGGGGGGTCTGGGCAGGAAGGACTGCCTGCTTACACTTGGGGGTGGGGCGCAAGGGGCCCATGGGCCGAGTCAGTGCCAGTCTCCCACCTTGAGGCTCTGTCGCATGTTCGTTCCATGAGGAGATCTCAGAGCGGGGTGAGGGCTCTCCCTTAGGACTGATGGTGGAGCTGCACCTCCGGGGTCCCTCAGGGGGACCCTGCTTTTGCAGAACTCAGATGTTCTGAGGGTCTGGGGTCTCTTAGCTGATCTAGAGGTACATATGCTAGGGGTCTGGGAGATAGCTTGGTGGTCTAAGCACCTGCTTGGAAGTGCAAGGATCCTGGGTACCGCCACTGAAACCAGGTGTGGTGCACGCCAGTGATCCCAGCACGGGGGAGGCTGAGACAGGAGGATCACCACAAGTCTGAGCTGCGTAGTGAGACCCTGCACCAAATGCAGAAATAAATAAAACATTAAAAAAGTAAAGATAAAAGTACTTACTGTAAAAGTTAGCCACCCCCCCCATATGGCCTGGGCAGCCCCAGGAAGTAAACCTATGAATGTTTCTGGTGTGAAATGTCTGCATACTGCCACCCGTAAGATGAAAAGTCATAGGTGGCCTTGCTTTAGTTCAGGACAGGTTTTGTCACCAAGCACGTTTTGGTGGCAGAGTGAGGAAAACAGATTCCCAGAGCGTTTTCACGTTTCAGAACTGTGCATGGGGGAGTTCGGGCTGCTGACAAGGGCAGGGGCCGCCAGCCTCTCCTGCTGCCCTCCGTGTCCAAGGTCCAGGCACGTCTGCGTCAGCGCAGGGTACCTCGGATGCGTGCAATTCCACGCCATCCGACAGACAGCGGAGGCACAGTCAGCAGTGAGGGTAGACGCCAGCCCGCTGGGCTGCCTGGGATCAAATCCCTGCCCTGCCCTTACGTGGCTGTGTAACCTTAGCGAAGGGCCTGGCACCGCCGTGCCCAGCTCCTCGTAGGGACGGGGGACAGCGCCTGTGACTCGCCTCCCAGGGCTGCTGGGAGGATGCCGTGAGCTACTTGGGGCAAAGTGCGCGGCACACGGTGAGCGCTGTTATTCTCGTAGTCTTACACACTGGCAAACTAAGCCTCGGGAGAGCTCAACAACTTAACACACAGCTACTAAGTGTGCAGCTGGGGGCCAGAAGTGGTGGTGCGCGCCTGTAATCCCAGCATTTGGGAGGCTGAGGCACAAGGATCGCTGTGAGTTCGAGACCAGCCTGGGCTACAAAGTGAGCTCAAGGCCGGCTTTAGGTGCCTAGTGAGACCCTATCTCAAAAAGACAAACAATAAATACAAATTTTAAAAAGTAATTAAAAAAAAAAGTAATTGAGGCTGAAGGCGCACCTGAGGAAGGCAAGGCCCCAAGACAAAGACGCCAATGGCCAGGCCGAAAGCCTCCTAGGGAGGCACAGCAGCTTGCTAGGCTGTAATCCTAGGCTGTAATCCGCACCCCCTGGTCCGGGAAGAGCAGCGGCCCAGGCGGTGCGCAGCGCATCCGCCCTGACCCTTCCACCTTGCTGCGTGACTCGTTGCCCAGTTGGATAGACACCGGCTCAGGCGGTACACCCCTAATCCTGACGGTTGATGGCAGTTTGACCCACGTTGTGCCCACATTGTGACCTTGCTACAGGGCTTCCTCTGCCGCCCCGCTGGGGCCCCTTTCTAAATCCGGGAGCTGTTCCCTCCTTGTTTCCAATAAAACTCCCGATTCCGTCCTTTGGCCCGGAACCGTGAACTGGGCACATGGGACCCCGCCGGGCGGGAAGTCGCGCTCCTCCGGCCGCCGACCGCACCGCGCCCCGTCCCCGGCCGCCGGCGCACTCACCGTGCGGGCCCTGGCGCGC